TATATATATATATATATATTTATATATATATATATATATATATGTTTAGTTTATGATGCTGTTTAGCATGTTTTCATCAGATATAGAAATTGAAGCGATTTTGTACTTTTATTAGTTGTATTTAGTGTTTAGTTTCTAAACAACTTAATAATGTCACTGAGATTCTCATTGCTTTTGTGTCAGATAAACACAATTAAATGATTAAAAGTTGATTAAAAATAATCTCTGGTAGTTAGATATGTAAAACAATATATTTACATTATCCCTTAATATCTGAAATGTAGTTAGCTACTTTTTATTAAGCTTATAATGTAGCTATACCTACTTTTAAAACATATATATATTAACCCGACTGTAAGTTAACCACTTCAAATTAGCTTTTGACAAGATAGAGTTTCAAAATTGCCCAACGTTTCCCCAAATTTCCTAATCATCTGTCGTATCCCTACACTCACTGGGAAACTGAAAGTAAAATAGAACATTGAAAGAAAGATGATACAGAGAAGGGGAGCAGGATGTCTGTTGAAAATAAAAATAAAATGGTGTGTTTGCCAAACAAAATCCTGTCCAGACCACGTAATCGGGTGGCTGAACTTCCTGTATGACTCGTTGCCCTAGGCTGACTTCAGTTGTACTAGCAAGCCTCACATTCATGCCACAGGTTATTTGAGGTAACCAATTAACGCACAGCATGCGTTAGCCTAGAGATTTGCCCACAACAAGTGCACTCTGACAGTAACCGTCAATGTCAAAAAACCCACTGACCATGTTTGAGTTTAAAGCGCTAGGAGCTAAAGCAGTAGTTCTCAACCAGTGAGTTACAGGTCTGTTTTGATAAGGTCGTAAACATAGAAAAAAAAACTATTTAAATTACAAACAATAGAATGCAATTAATTATATAACTCTACATAGCTAGAATGGCAAAATCAGTAGACTTATGAACTTTTAACATACGAAAAAAACACTTCCCAAAGCTGTGTGTCCATTCAAACTCTTTAGTATTTAGACACAAATTCATCTGTTTATCTTCTAAAATCTAGCCAAATTAGGAAGGTGTCAACATGCTCTCATTCTCAAAAAAATATGAATAGAACTATGCAAGGTAAAAGGAAATATGATTCAAACTACTTTACATATGGATTATATACCTATGGGTGCAAATAAACATGATTTGTGCCAACCACAATGCAGTGATTTTTTTTTTTTGGCAATAGAATTAAATCATCTAGGTTAAATCTTGGATCATCAACAGCTTTGGTGCTGTGTTGGGTTCCCTTTAAACTTGTCCTGAATCACAAAACATGTGAATATCCCGTGCTCGAATCTGAAAATACCAGAACCAGTTCTACTCTTGATTAACCTAACTTCCTGTTATGTGTCTCTGTAAGACGGGATTTCCCCCGGCGACCGTTAATCAATTACCCTCAGCCCGAGGACATAAAAGGATGAATCAAGGAAGTCTGTCTTCTTCTCTTACATGGTCATCATTGATTTCAACTCTAGCACAAAAGACCCTGTAATTACTGCATCTAAAGTGGTTGACGCACACACAGACACTTTAAAACAGCTCTATAAATTCACTCGCTCCCCTCTAGCCTAGAAAACTAGCAAGCCAGTTACCGAGTCCCAGGGCTGGATGATGCTCCACAAGCGCCCAACTGTTATCGTCCACACAATGGTTTTTATAGACGAGAAACTGGCACAGGTCTCGTGCTGTCATGTCAGCTGGGATCTCCACCACCTTTCCCATCCCATCCTCACTGAAGACTTTTATGATCTGAAATACATAAAAAAAAAATCAGATCTTAGATATGTAGTTGAGATTAAATTGAACAGAAAAATATGTCTTTTACACACATTTACACATTGGAAAATTTTACTGCGTCACAAGACAATTTTATTTTCAGGGCCCCAACGGAAATAAAATAAACATTAAAAAGTGATACACAACATATTTTTATGTGATGTTACAATATCTTTATACAAAAAAGAGAATATATGAAAATATTCTAAGGCTTTGACCCAGAATGAAAAGCCATTAATGCTCAAATCTAGGTCTTTTCACATCCAAATTCCATGTCTAGACTACATCCTTACTAATATGAGTAGGGAAATTTTTTTTCAATTTGAAATAGTTTGGTGCTCAACACTAAACGAGTCCCGTGCCATAGTGTCCCCTTCATCACACACATACTAGCTTTTCTCGAAAATTCTCTATTCCTATTTGCAACATCGCTTACACGTTCTGAGCTCTTTCATACGTTCTCTCACTCAGCACACTTCAGCCCACAACACATATATTCAGAAATCTGTTACGCCAGCCTTTAAAGCTTTTCCACAACATTTACATTTACAAATTCCATCATTCACTCAAACTGTGGACGTAACCGTTCCCGTCACACTCTATTTTAGATTTTCAGTTTCATTCTACAGGTTATATTTTTCTCCCCACTAGAGACGAATATCAACTCCCCAGACTCTTCTAGTCGCCTAGAGGGAGAGGGATTCTGAAGTACCCAGAAGGAGCTGTACATTTGGGACTGAGGAGAAATCTTACCTCCCCAGGCCTGAGCAGGCAACAGTCAGGAGAACACGATGGCATTTTCCCCAGCAGCCTGTGTCCTCCTCCACACTCTGAGAGATGAACCAGCTCCCCGAATATCTCCACAACTCCACAAGAGAGAAAAAAAGGACCAAAAAAAGGAAAAAAGCAGTTCCGATGCTTTGCAGATGCTTCTTCCTGTCAGTGGCTCAGCGTATCCTACCTGTCACAATCTCCCTCCTCTTTCTCTCTCTCTCTAGCTTTGGTGCAGGACAGAGCATGCAGATGGCACTGTTTCCAGCTTGGCAGACAACTTGCCTCTGTTCCCCTCACAAAGGGTTACAGCCACAGGCTTTTAGGTAGTGAATCAAACCACACTTCCCTGACCAATCATAGGGCTAGCTCAAGCTGATGTAATCATTCCCACACAGACACAGTCGCACACGCACACTCACACACCCCTCACACACACACACACACACACACACACCAACAGACGCATATACACAGACGCACAGTCATACGCACGTACAGCCTTAACTATTCTTTTCCCCCTTCTGCATATCTTCGGTTTCTTTTCGCTCTCGAAAGGAGAAAAGGTTTGTTTTTAGCAGCTTGTTTGTTTCCTCTGAAGTGAAGAGGGCAATAGGACCGGACAGACAAAGCTTCTCGGCTGTCTAAACCTTAATTTTCCAGAGTCTTGAACAAGTTTCATGTGAGGACTTGTTGAAAGTTTTCTTACTTTCAAAAGCCCAGCTTTGAAGTTGGTAGTTTGAAGCCAGAAATTTCTCTCACGACAGGGCAAGACTCATTACAGCTGAACTGAAACAAATGCCAGCACTTGAGACTCCGCTCACTGCCTTCCCCCCAGCCAAACTTTATGCCAACATTCCTTCACTAAAGCTGAGAGAAAAAAATAAAAGCAAACCCCAGCGGTTTCATTGGTGACCCCTGAATTCACACACACACACACAAACCTAAACACATGCGCAAACAATGAAAGAAGTCAGACGCAAACTTTCAGACAGCTAATTCAACAGAGGACGGACACAAAGAGACTACACCCACCCATTTCTGTGGAAGTGAATTGAGTTTTTCTTTTTAATGGACCCAGAGTTTCATCTCAAGGCTTCATCTCTCTCGGTTTTGACACTTGCACGCATATCTGTTTGGCGGCCCCTGCTAAAATTAACTTTCTGTGACCACAGGAAACCGGACAGAATGGATGACTCAATCCTTTTCAATCCTTTAGGAAACTATTTCAGTTATGGGGGTGGGGAGGAAGGGAGAGAGCGAGAGGAAGTTGGGGATAGAGGGCTGGAGGGCTGGAGGGAGTACTGGAATCAGTCCAGAAGAAAGAGTCAGTAGGGGTGGTAACATAAAAGGTATGCAAACTCTCCAGTCCTCCAGCTGGCTTGACTGCTCCTCCTCTTCTCCTCCTCTTTCTCCTCTCTTTCACTCATCACACCATTTAGGCAGTCAGAGGGGAGAAGACTGGGTCACATATGTGTGCACACCATCTCATAGCATCATAAGCTAAAGCCATGTCATGCAATGTACAGTGTGTCCATCATTACCCTACTGACCCATATTAAGGCATGGCGACTGTTGGACTCTATATAGGAGTTTGTCTGTAAATGTTTGCATCGTCATCTTGAACTGTTTATTAATTTTTTTAACCTTTTGCCATTTTTATAGTATAGCAGGGACATAACATTATCACTAAAATCTACACAGCACGAGCGTGTACGTGTTTTGCTTAATACCAGTTTTCTTTTTCTTTCATTTAGAATAAATATCTGCTAGTAGGGAGGATTAATTCATTTACTGCTTATTTTATTTAAAAACTTTATGCTGATTGTGCATGTTGTTTGCCATTAGCTGTAATTAGCTACAAAATCTACAAAAATACTTTTTGCTACCTGTTAATTTGTGCTTAAGTGGCAAACTGTACCGCAGGAGTTTCGATTTCAAGCCATTTGCGTGCTATAGGCTTTGCTGTGCTAATTAGAAAGGTGTCGACAGCTGTATTCACTCAAGAGGGTTAAGCTCTGTATTTAAGTGGAGTCGGTTCACTGGTGCAGAAGCGTCAGCCCTCGTGGTCAGCCCTCCTCGTGTGAAGACTGATGAGGTAAAGACCTGCGACTCTACCTGCGTGCCTCAACCGAGAGAAGACACCGACAAGGCACAGTAGTATCTTTCCCTTATTCTACTTCCCTTTCTTTCCTCTCTCCACCCCTTTTAACATGTGCTTCCATTATATTCCTGTTGTCTCTCAATGGAAACACTCTTACACAACACACATTAGACGGCACAATCATGCTAACCTGTGTCCTATCCACACTTCTTTTATTGCACCCCTTTTCTTTTCTATGGGCCTTTGGAATTGTCAGTCAGCTGTCAGCAAAGCTGACTTCATTCCAGCCTTTGCTACTCAGTCAGCTCTTAGTCTCTTGGGCTTGACTGAGACCTGGATTAAACCTGAAGACACCGCTATCCCTGCTGCTCTTTCCAACAACTTCTCTACAACTCAACAACTACCCACACCCCCCATCAGGTAGGGAGAGGTGGGGGTACTGGTCTCCTCATTTCCAATAGCTGGAAATACCTCACATGCTCTTATAACTTTAACAATACTTCTTTTGAATTTCATGCTGTTACAGTCACACTCCATGTAAAAATCCACATTGTAGTTTTATTTATCGCACTCCAGGTCAGCTGAGCAACTTTCTAGAAGAACTGGATACGCCGCTGTCCTCATTCCCTGAGGATGGCAGCCCTCTAGTACTTTTTGGTGACTCACTGCTATCTTCATTTTTCACCAGTTCACGCTGCCAAAACTACCTTCTTCCATAACAAGATCAACAGCACATCAGATACACGCAAACTCTTCAAAACATTCAATACTCTCCTTTGTCCCTCTCCGCCACCTCCCACCTGACCATCCTCTCTCCTCTAAGTCTCTAAACTTATCCTCTCCAGCCACCCTACAAACTGCCCTCTAGACCCAATCCCCTCACATCTCCTACAAGCTATTTCCCCTGCATTTCTGCCTTCACTCACACACATCATCAACACATCACTTCTCGCAGGCATTTTTCCCACCGCATTCAAGCAGGCTCGGGTAACCCCACTGCTTAAAAAACCTACAGACACCTCACTTGTTGAAAGCTACAGGCCCGTGTCTCTCCTCCCATTCATAGCAAAATCACTTGAACGTGTTGTGTTCAACCAAGTGTCTTCCTTCCTCTCACAGAACAACCAGCTGGACAATAACCAATCTGGATTTAAAAGTGGCCATTCAACTGAAACTGCCCTGATGTCAGTTGCTGAAGCATTACGGAGTGCAAGAGCTGAGTTCAAATCTTCAGTTCTCATTCTGCTAGATCTATCTGCTGCATTCAACAGTGTTAATCATCAAATCCTTCTGTCCACCCTCTCATCACTAGGCATCACCGGAACTGCACTCCACTGGTTTGAGTCTTACCTCACAGGTAGGTCATTCAGGGTGTCTTGGGGAGGAGACGTATCCAAATCACATCAACTGGTCACTGGGGTTCCTCAAGGATCAGTTCTTGGGCCCCTCCTCTTCTCTATATACACTACATCACTGGGACCCATCATTCAGGCACATATTTTTTCCTTCCATTGCTATGCTGATGACATGCTGCATTTCAGCCAGATGATCCAACGGTACCTACTCGGATTTCAGACTGGTATGGATGAAAGAACATCACCTGCAGCTCAACCTAGCAAAGACAGAGCTTCTCATCTTCCTAGCCTCCCCATCAGTTCAGCACCAGTTTACCATCCAACTGGGCTCCTCAACGATAATCATATCGTGTTTGGCCAGGAATCTTGGGGTGATTCTTGATGATCAGCTGACCTTTAAAGATCATATTGAAAAAACAGCACAATCAAGCAGGTTCGCACTACACAACATCAGAAAGATCAGACCCTTCCTAACAGAGCATGCAACACAACTTCTCAACCAGGCCCTTGTCATTTCTAGGCTGGACTATTGCAATGCTCATCTGGCTGGACTACCAACATGTGCAATCAGACCTCTTCAAATGATTCAAAATGCAGCAGCACGTCTTGTTTTCAATGAGTCCAAGAGAGCCCATGTTACACCACTCCACATCTCTCTGCACTGGCTTCCAGTCGCGGCTCACATCAAGTTCAAGTCATTGGTGCTTGCCTACAGAACATCCACAGGCTCTGCACTCTCCTAC